CACAAAGGAGTACGAACGAAACGGTAATGAAGATCAAGGGAAAGAGTAGAGAAGACTGGGGAAGAACGTTGAAAAGTGGGGGCAGGTGGATACGAGCGGAGACTGGTGCGGAAACAAGGCGCCGGGGGATTGGAAGGCACCCGACAGCCTCCTATGAGCTCTGGGGGGCCTCGGAATGGCCCCGATGACCACCGAGCAGTTCCAGAGGCTCCGAAAACTTGCAGGAACGCCCCCCGTCGAGGGAGGCCTTCATTCGAAGCCCGCAGAAGAACCTGGGCCAGTGGAGCACGCGCATGCGTATGGTTGCGAGGAAGGCCAAAGCGAGAGCGCGATTCTCCAATCAACTGTGAGGAAGTATCAGGCGGGAGCCGCGATCCGGTGGTAAATTGCAAGGAAGTCCTAAGCGAGGGCGCGATTCTTCAATAACTATAGGAAGTATCAGGCGGGAACCGTTGTTGGCGCGGGCCACGACGGGCGCGAACGAGCGGGGGCCCCGAAGGGCATACGTCTAGGGGGCCGTATAGGGCAGCGACGGAGCCGTTGAGGGCAGAGACGTGGCCGCGAAGGGCAGAGAGGGGGCCACGAAGAGCGACGGCGGGGCCACGAAGGGCATGCATATGGGGGGCCACGACGGGCGCGAACGAGCGGGGGCCACGAAGGGTGTGCATATACAGGGCCAGAAAAGGGCGACAGCGGGGCCACTGAGCGCAGAAAGTGGGCCACGAAGGGCAGCGATGGGGGCCCCGAACGGCGACTGCGGGGCGACAAAACGCATGCGTATGGGACAACGAAAGGCGCGAGCGAGCGTGAGCCACGAAGGGCAGTTAATCTGGGGCCGCAGGGGGCAGCGACGGGGCCGCTGAGGGCAGAAACGGGCCACGAAGGGCAGAGAGGGGGCCACGAAGGGCGACGGCGGGGCCACGAAGGGCATGCATATGGGGCCACGGCGGGCACGAACGAGCGGGGGCCACGAAGGGCATTCGTATATGGGGCTAGACAAGGGCGACAGCGGGGCCACTGAGGGCAGCGAAGGGACCACGGAGGGCAGCGAGAGGGCCACGAAAGGCGACAGCGGGCTACGAAGGGCATGCGTATGGGGCCACGACGGACGACTGCGAGCGGGGGCCACGAAGGGCATATAATGCGGGGCCACAGTGGGCAGCGACGGGGCCACTGAGGGCAGCAACGGGGCCACGAAGGGCAGCGAGCGAAGGCGACCGCGGAACCAGTGCGGGCAGCGAGGGGCATCGAAGGCGGGCGAATGGCAGCGAGCGGCGACTGCAATCCCTAACGGGCTGGTCGGGCGGGCAGGCCCAGACGGGCGGGTCGAGTTGGCGGGTCGTTGAAGCGTAAATTCTGCTTGAACCGCTAGGCAGTATGTAGCGGGAGCGCGATTCCTGTATCGAGGACCGGCATTGAGTCAATTGTTAGGAAGCATTAGGCGGGAACCGCAATTCGGTGGTAAGTTGCGAGGATGTCCCAAGCGAGAGCGCGATTCTTCAATACATTGTGAGGAAGTATCGGGCGTGAGTCGCGATCCGGTGGTAAATTGCAAAGAAGTCCAAAGCGAGAGCGCGATTCTTCAATACATTGTGAGGAAGTGTCAGGCGGGAGCCGCTGTTGGTGTTGTTGTTGTTGTTGTTGTTGTTGTTGTTGTTGTTGTCGTTGTAAACCGGAGGCAAACAACGCATTTTGACCTTCAACGTTGTCCTTGATTTTTTATCAGAATTATCCACGCGAAGGACCCAACCATACGCAAGTGTGAAAACCGCAAGGCAGGTGGAACGAAGCAAGGGGAATTCCCCATGGGACCACGAACCGTGTGAGGAGTGCACCAAACTGGCGCGGGGCCGCCATGCGAACCCTGCCACTGGGGCCTTCGGTGGAGCTCCCTATGGGGCCACAAACCGTGCGAGGGGTGCGCCAAAATGGTGCGGGGCCGCCATGCGAACCCTGCCTCTGGGGCTTTCGGTGGAGCTCCCTATGGGGCCACGAACCGTGTGAGGGGTGCACCAAACTGGCACGGGGCCGCCATGCGAACCCTGCCACTGGGGCGTTCGGTGGAACCCCCTATGGGGCCACGAACCGTGTGAGGGGTGCCCCAACATGGTGCGGGGCCGCCATGCGAGTCCTGCCACTGGGGTTTTCGGTGGAGCTCCCTATGGGGCCACGAACCGTGTGAGGGGTGCACCAAAATGGCGCGGGGCCGCCATGCGAACCCTGCCTCTGGGGCCTTCGGCGGAGCCCCTTTATGGGGCCACAAACCGTGCGAGGGGTGCGCCAAAATGGCGTGGGGCCGCCAAGATAACCCTGCCACTGGGGCCTTCGGTGGAGCTCCCTATGGGGCCACGAACCGTGTGAGGGGTGCACCAAACTGGCGCGGGGCCAACGTGCAAACCCTGCCTCTGGGGCCTTCGGTGGAGCTCCTTATGGGGCCACGAACCGTGTGAGGGGTGCGCCAAAATGGTGCGGGGCCGCCATGCGAACCCTGCCACGGGGGCCTTCGGTGGAGTTCCCTATGGGGCCACGACCCGTGTGAGGGTGCACCAAACTGGCGCGGGGCCGCCATGCGAACCCTGCCTCTGGGGCCTTCGGTGGAACCCCCTATGGGGCCACGAACCGTGTGAGGGGTGCGCCAAAATGGCGCGGGGCCGCCATGCGAACCCTGCCACTGGGGCCTTTCGGTGGAGCTCCCTATGGGGCCACGAACCGTGTGAGGGGTGCACCAAACTGGCGCGGGGCCGCCATGCGAACCCTGCCTCTGGGGCCTTCGGTGGAGCTCCCTATGGGGCCACGAGCCGTGAGGGGTGCGCCAAACTGGCGCGGGGCCGCCATGCGAACCCTGCCACCGGGGCCTTTCGGTGGAGCTCCCTATGGGGCTACGAACCGTGTGAGGGGAGCGCCAAAACGCGGAGCCGCCATGCGAACCCTGCCACTGGCGCCTTCGGTGGAACTCCCTATGGGGCCACGAAACGCTGTATTGGGTGGGTGAAACGCAGGGAGGAAGGAGGAGGGGGAGGAGGAGGGCGCAGCGGGAGGAGACGCGGGGCACCGTCTCTTCAAAACGAGGACCCAACACCACAGGATGGTTGGGAAAAAGGGTGCGAGTCCCGGGAAGGGCATTTCAATCGAAAAAACAATGCGCACTGGACGGGGGGGATCAACAACTATGATTCTTCAGAAATGAGAGTTCAACAACAACATCAACAACAACATGATCAACAACACGAAGAACAATAACAACAGCAACAGCAACAGCAACAGCAACAGCAGCAACAACAACAACAACAGCAACAGCAACAGCAACAGCAACAGCAACAGCAACGGCAACGCAACACGCAGAATCCTCACCACGAGTCCGCACTTCAGCCACGCACCCAGGGGCAATGAATGACCGTTCGGCCCCCTCGCTCTGACCGCTACCCTCGCCTCGACTTAGCTTTTGTGGGCTTCCTGGGAGGCCCTCGTCGCCACTGCTGGATTCGCTTCGAAATGCTGGTCAGAACACATCTCGGGAGAGGACAGGGGAGACCTCTGAACCCCTCAATAATTTTGGGGGGACCACTAGTCCGGGGATGGTACCTGTAGTCCGGGGGGGGCACCTTTTGGTTGGGGAGGGGGACCATGGGGAGGGGGCCAATAGTGCCTGAGGGGGGGTCAATAGTCCGGGGGTTGGGGGAACCAATAGTCCAGGGGGGGGGGGGCTTGCAGTAGGGCATTTGTTAGTCCAGGGGTGGGGGTGTGGGGGGGGGAAGTGACATTTTGCCTAAGTCAGGCGTTGCCTGAGGGGACCTTCGTTGTTTGCGAAGAACCAGCGGGTTCCGGAGCCGGTTGGCCCCGGCGTTCCCCGTGGTTGTTTGGTTCCCTTTTCTTACGAGGGCCTTACCCGGGGGTTGTTTGGTTTTCTTTCCTTCCTTACAAAAAGCATTGGCCAGGGTGCGCACGCACGCGAGTGCACGAACGCTCGCGCACGCACGCGCGCACGCGCACGCGCACGCACGCGATCGCGCATGCGCAAATGCACTCGCGCATGCACTCGCGCATGCGCGCACGCACGCGCGTGCACGTGCGCACGCTCGCGCGGGCAATCGCGCGCGCAAATGACAAATCTTCTCCCAAGCGCGGGGAACCCCGTGAATGGACGGCATTCGGGGGGGGGGGGGGGGCAATAGTCCGGGGGCAGTCGGGGGGTACGATAGTTTGGACCATAAGACTTCTAGTCGGGGGGGGGGGGCAATAGTCCGGGGGGGACCAACAGTGTGGGGGCCCCAAAGCATTGAGGGTTTCAGAGTAGTGGTACCTTTTGGTTTCGTCAGCCCATTCTGGCGAGCCCGGTCCGATTCGGTATACTGATGTTCCGACCCTCCGATGCGGCCCGATGCTTGCAGGGCGCTGTTGCGCATCCTGGCGCGGCGGGTCCGAGTCGATGGTGACTCCGTGCCGATGCGGCCCGAGCCGATGCTCGTTCCCTGAGATCCGGCAGCGCGAACAAAAGTTGAGACATCGCAGAGGATCACCACCACGTCCCCAGGCCTCACCATTCTGCGCCATCTGACGAGCGCGGTCGGTCTGTGATGCTCCTGGGGCCCGAGACTTGCCGAGAACGTGTGGCTCGAAAAGATCGACACGCCAGTCGGGCGCCGAGTAATGGGTATTTGCGATCATGGAGGATGACGATGGATAAATGACCGGGGGTCGTGTTCGCGCGGCGGCGCCCGGGATGACGATTCGAAAACACCGGCCGCGGGCCGGAAAGCTGTGTTTTCAATCGTTCTCCTCCAGGCAGAAAATGGTGCAGAAATAGCAGAAAACTATTTCTTGAATCGTTCTCTCCCATTGTTTTTATGAATCGTCATCCCGCATTACATGGGTGGGTGAAGAGAGGTGCACCTCCTGTGCCTTACAGGGGCCCAGGGCACGAAAGGTGCGCCAGGATCCCAGGACGTCGATCCGATCCGAGAGGCCCCGAGCCGATGCTGGCTGACCCCGCCAGGGCCTGGATGCGGCGGCAGGGCTCGCGGCGGTGGCGCTGCGCGCCCGGGCCGAGAGGGAGGATCGAGGAGGAGGAGGAGGAGGAGGAGGTGGTTGCGGAGGAGGAGGAGGAGGAAGAGGAGGAGGAGGAGGAGGAGGAGGAAGAGGAGGAGGAGGAGGAGGCGTGGGTGGAGGAGGAGGAGGACGACGACGACGACGAGGAGGAGATGCAGGAGGAGGAGGATGAGGAGGAGGGAGGAGGAGGAAGAGGAGGAGGAGGAGGAGGAGGAGGAGGAGGAGGAGGAGGAGGACCAGTCTAAACCCAACCCCTCTGATCCTGGATGGGGCTGGGAAGAGGGTAATTCCGTTCCAGAGCCTTCCGGGACGCTCTGCAGGCCGCGATGCCCGCATCCTCCAGAACCGCTCGGTGCCCTCCTAAATCCATTCCACAGCGTTCTGGGATTTTCGAAGAGCGCTCCGGAACGCGCTGAGACAGCCGCGGTGCCCGACACATCCTCGAGAACCGCTGGATCTCAGGGAGGATCCCCGATTTCTCGGCGTCGCACCAACACACTAATACTATGTGTGCGTCGCCCCCCCCCCCTCCTCCCAGGGGCGACGCGCGCGCAGAGAAATCTTATAGTACAAGCTCTGTGACGGTCGTTTTCTGGCCATACCGCTCGGGAAACGATATGCTACAATATGTTTGTAGTATGTGTTCGGGTCGGACGCACGCCGCCAAGGAAAACACATAGTACTAGTACCCGTCGGTCGTTGGAAGTCGATATTTCTGGATTCTCAGATCCCAGTCTACTTCAAGCGCCTTCCTGCATCAAGAATCGATGTGTTTGTGCCGTGGTTGCATTTGAGAGGCGTTTTGTTCCTCATCTACAGCCGCACAGAGCAGAACCGTGGTTGCATTTGAGAGGCGTTTTGTTCCTCACCTACAGCCGCCACAGAGCAGAACCGAGGAGGAGTACATTTATGGAGATTGGGAGAATCCAAGAATCGTGCTAGCGTATGTGATATCTTCTTGAACGAGGTTTACTTTGTCGTCGTCCTTGCCTGAGTTCCTGCCCTCTCGCTCCGCTGCTGCGTTTAGAGTAGTATGTCATGCTGGATGGCCCCCATCTCTTATAGCATGCCACCACCACCACTTCCTCCTCCTCTTCCTCCCCCTCCTCCTCCAAGCCCATGGCCGTTTTTCCCGACGCGAGCACGTCGGGGTACCATGAGAGGGTGGCAGGGGATGCGAGGAGGGGGCGGCGAGGACGAGGAGGAGGGCGCAGAGGACGAGGAAGGGAGGGAACGGCGAGGACGAGGAGGAGGGCGCAGAGGACGAGGAAGGGAGGGGGCGGCGAGGACGAGGAGGAGGGCGCAGCGTCCTGCATCCCAGACTCATCCTGGCCCGATGCCGTGTTTTTTTCAATACGGGGTCCCAGACAGAAAAGAATCTTCAAAACAGGCCGCGTTCTGTCTCCAGTGCCGGGTCCCAGACGGTTTTTTTGTTCTTTCTGTTTTCCGTTTCTGGGAGGGCGGGGGGGGGCACGATGTGTCCGCCCTCACTTGCGCAGAGACCCAGCCATCGGAATCAGAAAGCGTCCAGCACAGGGGGGACTGTTGGTAGTCATGCCCAGGTGTAGCTGCGCGCCCATCGGCCTCCTCGCCCTGGCTTCCTCCCCCTGGCTTCCGTCCGAGGACGTCCTCGCCCCGGCTTCCTCCCGAGGTCCGCTGGCGTCCTCGCCCTGGCTTCCTCCCGACGCCCTCGCCCTGTAGCTACGCGCGTTCTCGGTCCGAGGAGGGGGAGGAGGAGGAGGAGGAAGGGGAGGAGGAGGAGGAGGAGGGGGAGGAGGGGGAGGAGGAGGAGGGAGGACGAGGAGGAGGAGGAGGGGGAGGAGGGGGAGGAGGAGGAGGAGGAGGAGGAGGAGGAGGAGGAGGAGGAGGAGGAGGAGGAGGAGGAGGAGGAGGGAGGGGGAGGAGGAGGGAGGAGGAGGAGGGGGAGGGAGGAGGAGGAGGAGGAGGAGGGAGGAGGAGGAGGAGGAGGAGGAGGAGGAGGAGGAGCGCCCTCGCCCGGCCTTCCCCCCCGAGGACCGGGCCCTGCGGGCGCGGTGCGCCTCCGCCGCCCCGGCGGCGGGGCCCCTCGACGATGCGGAGGACGGCCCGCGCCTCGCGGCCGGCGGCCCGGCCCGAGGCCCAGCAGGCCAAGGCCTCCGACGACGAGGACGACGACGACGAGGACGACGACGACGACGACGACGACGACGGCGACGACGACGACGACGACGACGACGACGACGACGACGACGGCGAGGACGACGACGACGACGACGACGACGACGACGACGACGACGACGACGAGACGTGGTTGACGGGAGGCCTCCTCTTCCTTCCAGGCTTTTCCAGGCCCAGCCCCAGCAGGCCCACGTCTCGAGAAGCTCGACGCTGAGGTTTTTTCCCAACCATCCTGTGGTGTTGGGTCCTCGTTTTGAAGAGACGGTGCCCGCGTCCTCTCCTCTCCTCTCCTCTCCTCCTCTTCCCCCTCCTCCCTCCTCCCCCTCCTTGCCTCTGCTCTCGGCACACCTCTCACGCGTTTCGTGGCCCCAGAGGGAGTCCACCGGAAGGACCCAGTGGGGGGTCCACATGCGGTTCCCCCACCCGGGCAGCGTTTCGTGGCCCCATAGGGAGCTCCACCGAAGGCCCCAGTGGGGGTGTCCACATGCGTTTCCCCCACCCAGGGCAGCGTTTCGTGGCCCCATAGGGAGCTCCACCGAAGGCCCCAGTGGGGGTGTCCACATGCGGTTCCCCCACACAGGGCAGCGTTTCGTGGCCCCATAGGGAGCTCCACCGAAGGCCCCAGTGGGGGTGTCCACATGCGGTTCCCCCACCCAGGGCAGCGTTTCGTGGCCCCATAGGGAGCTCCACCGAAGGCCCCAGTGGGGGTGTTCGCATGCGGTTCCCCCACCAAGGGCAGCGTTTCGTAGCCCCATAGGGAGCTCCACCGAAGGCCCCAGTGGGGGTGTTCGCATGCGGTTCCCCCCCCCAGGGCAGCGTTTCGTAGCCCCATAGGGAGCTCCACCGAAGGCCCCAGTGGGGGTGTTCGCATGCGGTTCCCCCACCCAGGGCAGCGTTTCGTGGCCCCCATAGGGAGCTCCACCGAAGGCCCCAGTGGGGGTGTTCGCATGCGGTTCCCCCACCCAGGGCAGCGTTTCGTAGCCCCATAGGGAGCTCCACCGCAAGGGCCCCCAAGTGGGGGGTCACATGCGTTCCACCACCCAGGGCCAGGCGTTTCGTGGCCCCCATAGGGAGCTCTAAAGGCCCCAGTGTGGGTGCCAAATGCGGTTCCCCACCAGGCAGCGTTTCGTAGCCCCTAGGGAAACTCCACGAAGCCCAGTGGGGGTGTCCACATGCGGTCCCCCACCCAGGGCAGCGTTTCGTGGCCCCATAGGGAGCTCCACGAGGCCCCAGTGGGGGTCCGAACTATGCGGTTCCCACACCCAGTGGCAGAGTTTCCGTGGACCCATAGGGAGCTCCACCGAAGGCCCCAGTGGGGTGTCCACATGCGGTTCCCCCACCCAGGGCAGCGTTTCGTGGCCCCATAGGGAGCTCCACCGAAGGCCCCAGTGGGGGTGTTCGCATGCGGTTCCCCCACCCAGGGCAACGTTTCGTAGCCCCATAGGGAGCTCCACCGAAGGCCCCAGTGGGGGTGTTCGCATGCGGTTCCCCCACCCAGGGCAGCGTTTCGTGGCCCCATAGGGAGCTCCACCGAAGGCCCCAGTGGGGGTGTTCGCATGCGGTTCCCCCACCCAGGGCAGCGTTTCGTAGCCCCATAGGGAGCTCCACCGAAGGCCCCAGTGGGGGTGTTCGCATGCGGTTCCCCCACCCAGGGCAGCGTTTCGTGGCCCCATAGGGAGCTCCACCGAAGGCCCCAGTGGGGGTGTTCGCATGCGGTTCCCCCACCCAGGGCAGCGTTTCGTAGCCCCATAGGGAGCTCCACCGAAGGCCCCAGTGGGGGTGTTCGCATGCGGTTCCCCCACCCAGGGCAGCGCTTCGTGGCCCCATGGGGAGCTCCACCGAAAGCCCCCGTGGCGCAGTTCGCATGCGCTTCCCCCACCCAGGACAGCGTTTCGCGGCACCATAGGGAGCTCCACCGAAGGCCCCAGTGGCGCAGTTCGCATGCGGTTTCCCCACCCAGGGCAGCGTTTCGCAGCCCCATAGGGAGCTCCACCGAAGGCCCGCCCCGGTGGCGCAGTCCGCATGCGGTTCCCCCATCCAAGGCAGCGCTTCGTGGCCCCATATGGAGCCCCACCGAAAGCGGCACCCACAACGCGTACCAACAATTGCTTATGGTTGGGTCTTTTTTTCGCCCCCAGGTATTTTGTTGTTGTTCCCAACCATCTGTGTGTTGGGTCCTCGTTTGTTTGAAGAGGACGGTTTGCCCCGCGTCATTCTCCTATCCTTCCTCCTCCTCCCCTCCCCCCTCCCCCTCCTTGCCTCTGTCTCGGCACACCTCCACGCGTTCGTAGTCCCAATAGGGGGAGCTCCACCGAAGGCCCCAGTGGGGGTGTCCACATGCGGTTCCCCCACCCAGGGCAGCGTTTCGTAGCCCCAGAGGGAGCTCCACCGAAGGCCCCAGTGGGGGTGTCCACATGCGGTTCCCCCACCCAGGGCAGCGTTTCGTGGCCCCATAGGGAGCTCCACCGAAGGCCCCAGTGGGGGTGTCCACATGCGGTTCCCCCACCCAGGGCAGCGTTTCGTGGCCCCATAGGGAGCTCCACCGATAGGGAGCGTCCACCGAAGGCCCCAGTGGGGGTGTTCGCATGCGGTTCCCCCACCCAGGGCAGCGTTTCGTAGCCCCATAGGGAGCTCCACCGAAGGCCCCAGTGGGGGTGTTCGCATGCGGTTCCCCCACCCAGGGCAGCGTTTCGTAGCCCCATAGGGAGCTCCACCGAAGGCCCCAGTGGGGGTGTTCGCATGCGGTTCCCCCACCCAGGGCAGCGTTTCGTAGCCCCATGGGGAGCTCCACCGAAGGCCCCAGTGGGGGTGTGGCGGTTCCCCCACCCATGTGTAGCCCCATAGGGAGCTCCACGAAGGCCCCAGTGGGGGTGTCCACATGCGGTTCCCCCACCCATGGCAGCGTTTCGTAGCCCCATAGGGAGCTCCACCGTAGGCCCCAGTGGGGGTGTCCACATGCGGTTCCCCCACCCATGGCAGCGTTTCGTAGCCCCATAGGGAGCTCCACCGAAGGCCCCAGTGGGGGTGTCCACATGCGGTTCCCCCACCCAGGGCAACGTTTCGTGGCCCCATAGGGAGCTCCACCGTAGGCCCCAGTGGGGCTGCCGCATGCGGTCCCCCCCCACACAGGGCAGCGTTTCGTAGCCCCATAGGGAGCTCCACCGAAGGCCCCAGTTGGGGTGCCCGCGTGCGGTTCCCCCACCCAGGGCAGCGTTTCGTGGCCCCATAGGGAGCTCCACCGAAGGCCCCAGTGGGGGTGCCCGCATGCGGTTCCCCCACCCAGGGCAGCGTTTCGTAGCCCCATAGGGAGCTCCACCGAAGGCCCCAGTGGGGGTATTCGCATGCGTCTCCCCTACCCAGAGGTAGCGCCACCGAAAACGATATTCATATTTACAATATTCACAACTGCATATGGTTGGGTCCTTCGCCAGGCTAATTGTTGTTGAGTTTTTGGCCTCTGGGTGCCCTCGCCTGGCACCGTGACCCTCTCTCGGACGGACCCGGCTCGAGGAATGCCGCAGAAAAATGGGGTTCAGGGTTTTGGTAGTTTTTTCCTGCAAGCCCCTCCCAAGTGGGGTCGAAGCAGATGGGGTCGGACGATCGCGCCGGTATCGCCGATGTGCATCGGCGATGCGGCTCGATGTGGTGCCCGCTTCTTTTCACGCCAACGTCGCCGATGCAACGCCGATGCATCCGCCATGCATCGCCGATGCCGCACAACCCCCTGGCTCCATCTACTACTCCGACCCCTTCTGGGAAACCTTTAGCCCCAGACCTCCAACGTCCCCAGACCCCGTCGGGTCATGGAAGAGGCACGACGGCCGGTTTTTCTCTACTCTCGGCCTCGGGGGGCCCTTGTCGGCCCTCGGGGCCGTCAAGAAACGACTCGGGACAAAAGCACTGCCCCGAGGACTGGATCCAGAACGCTGGGGGTCCACGTCGTGAGCAATCATCACGATGCGGAGGCCTCGAGAAGCTCGACGCGGAAGTTCTGGTCAGTTCTTGGCGTCTATGGGGGTCCTTGCTGGGCGGCTCCTCACAGAGCGATCTGGCTCGCAAAATGCCGCAGACGGGGCCTTGGGCTTTGGTCGAGGGTTGAGTTTTTCACGATCTTGCAATTCTGGGACCCCCTCCTCCTCCTCCCCATCCTCCTCGTCCTCCTCCTCCTCCTCGTCCTCCTCCTCCATTCCTTCTCCTTATAGATAACTTCTTCCTGTGCACCCCGAGGCCAGTGTTTAGGGCGGGCCGGGCGTTTCGCCTGAGACTTCCTCACCATTTATGATTCTGAAGCTTAAAAAAGTGACGACAGTTTCACAGATGGAGGTCGGGTGGTTTTCAAAATGTGGCTCTCGCCTTAGCGCCGCGCACATTCGTTTTAAACATTTGCAAGAGCTGCACATATTGATGGCGGGTCGTTTTCGAAATGTGGCTCTCGCTTTCGCGCCGCGCACATTTGTTTAACCAAATACAAGAGTTGCACATATTGATGGCGGGTCGTTTTCAAAATGTGGCTCTCGCCTTAGTGCCACGCACAGTCGTCTTAAACAATTGCAAGAGTTTCACGGATTGAGGGCGGTTCCTTTTCAAAATTTGGTTCTCGCTTCATTGCCACGCACATTCGTGTTTAACATTTGCAAGAGTTTCACGGAGTGACAGCGGGTCGTTTTCAAAATGTTGCTCTCGCCTTAGTGCCGCGCACTTTTGTTGAACAAGCACAGCAAAAAAAAATGCGGATTGAGGGCGGTACTTTTTTACTATGTGACTCTCGCCTCAGCGCCGCGCACATTCGTGTTTTTATGTTAATGTAAGGGTTTCACGGATTCCCTTGATCAACGTACCAGAAACGGCGTTTTGGAAGGATTCAGGATTATGCGGACGCAACGCTTATCTTGATTCGCTGTGTTGAAGTCCCCAAAATATTCTTTTGACACGATTCTGGATCGCCAAGACGCAGCAGTCAGGTTGACACGTGGCGTTGAAATCCCGAGAACAATGTTTTGGCACGCTTCAGGATCTTGAACCTGTTGTCTTCCAACGAGGCAGTTCCGTCAATGGAAATGAACCGTTGTAGGGACCTCTGAAGAGGGAGCTTGGAGGGAGGGTGAATTCCAGCATCGGTGATGACTTGGGTTTCCACTGGTCCTCCTCCTCATCCTCCTCCGGCTCCTAACACTCCGGGCGTCAAGTTTTCTTTTTCATGTCGTCGACCCCCAGAGGTCTCGACCAATTCCCCGGGACCGGCTTTGCATCCCGAGTTGTCTTGTTAGCGGTCCCAAGGCCCAGTAATGGGCCCCAGGAGCTGAAAATAATGAGAAACTCCCCGTCGCGATATTCCTGACCCGAAAGGATCTTGGACCCTTGGTGACGTCGGAACTCAGGGGCTGCCCCCAGACCTCCAACGTCCCAGGATGCTCGACGCGAGAGTTTTGTTCGCAGTCCTTGGCCTCCAGGCGGCCTTCGCCAGGCCCAGGGAACGCGAGGAGCCGACCCAGTCGAGGCTGATTAGAAGGTCGACCCTGCCAGATCAAGGTGTCCTCGTGTCCTGTGCTTCGCGACCCATGCCTTCTACATCCCTACGGCCATGTGGCCCTCCCAAGGGTCTCGTGTCCTCTCGCTCCTCTGGCGTGTCGAATCCGACTGTCGCCCCAGCTGGCCTCAACAGGCTCCCCGAGCAGATCCTGCTGGCCTCCGCAGGCCCCCGGAGCAGACCCGGGCGGCCTCAGCGCCCCGGCGCCGCCTCCGGGCAACGCCCTTGGGGCGCTCGGCGCGACAGGGTGGCGGCGTTGCAACGGCCCTTGCGTACCAGGATGCGCACCTCCAGGATGCGCACCTCCAGGATGCGCTCCCCTCGAAGGAAGCGCATCCTGGAGGCCTGGAGGTCTGGAGGGAGGGGTCCTTCCTGGGCCTCTCCGAGGGCCTCTGTGGGCCTCTCTCGTGTCCTCTTCGGTGAGTGTGTGAAGGAAAGGGGTCCTTCTCCGAGGGCCTCTCCGAGGGCATCTGGGCCTCTCTCGTGTCCTTTCCGACGGAGTTCTGGAGGCAAGGGGTCTCCTTCCCGGGTCCCCCCGCCAAGGGCCTCCAGAAGCGCCTCCTCCGCGCGCCCCTGGGCTCCTCGTGGGTGCCTCTCTGGGCGCCCGCGTGAGCTGGCCAGGTTTTCAGGGTCTTCGCGGGCGCCTGGTTGCTTACACTGCACAACTTGCGTACGCCTCACATAGCTCATAGCTTGCGCCACAGAGTGAGCCTGCGACGCGTAGCTTGCACCACAGATCTTGCAGCGGATCTTGCACTGCATGGCTCGCATCACATAGCTTGCACCACATAACTTACACCGCATAGCTTGCACCACACATAGCTAGCTTACACATGACAGCTTCTCTATCCTGAGTGCGCAACCTTGTTGCATGTGGGCTCGAGATTGGGGCAAAGCGTCCAGGACCCCTAGTCGAGTACGAAGAGACGGCATAGCCGTTACATAATTCTCGGAGATCCGCGCTGATGTGTTGGATCGGCGCTGGACTCGCATGCCAGGGGCTGCGCTGGAGGCGCCGCCAGGGGAGGCCAGCCCCGACCCAAGAAATCCGCGCCGAACTCCGAAAGATGATTTGTATGCCGTTCTTTGGTTCTCAGCCTTGCTCCAGGACCTGCCCAGTCATCGAGAACAAAAAAAACCCTAACCCGAGCAGCACGATGATGACGTGGCCTCATTGAGGCCTGCGTCTTCGCATTTGGGACAATAGTTCTTGGCGGTGTGGTTTAACACATGTGCAGAACCCCCCCTATACCTAATGTGCTTGGCCCTCCCGGCTTAGGTCCCCTTCAAAAGGCTCAGGTTCTCTTGTTGTTGGTTCTCGTCCAGGGGTGCGCTCTGACCAGCACTCCGAGAGAGAGGGATCCAGCCGTGGCGACGAGGAGCTTCGCAAGGGGCCCAGGGAGGGCGACAAACACGCCCCCCCGAGGGCCTCGGCCCTCGATCCGGCGAGGACGCACACCAAAAAAAAAAACTCAGCCCCGCGAGCCTCGGCCCAGCAAGAATCCACAGCTTTTGTTCCACGACGAGGCGGCTCGGTCATCCAGCCTCTCTCGTCTCGCCTGTCAGCTCCTGTTGCGAGTCCAGCCTCGCCGCTTCTCAAAGCGTGAGACTCTGCGGGCTCGAGGAGAAAGGAGGAGGAGGAGGCGGAGGAGGAGGAGGCGGAAGAGGAGGAGGAGGAGGAGGAGGAGGAGGAGGAGGAGGAGGAGGAGGAGGAGGAGGAGGGAGGAGGAGAGAGGAGAGAGAGGGAGAGGGAGGAGGAGGAGGAGGAGGAGGAGGAGGAGGAGGAGGAGGAGAGGAAGGAGGAGGAGGAGGAGGAGGAGGAGGGGGGAGGTGAAAGAGGAGGAGGAGGAGGAGGAGGAGGTAGGAGGAGGAGGAGAGGAGGAGGGAGGAGGAGGAGGAGGTGGAGGAGGAGGAGGAGGAGGAGGAGGAGGAGGGGGGGCGCTCCCAAGTTCGAAAATCGCCCGCCGACCTGCCAGGATGGCAGCGCCAGCCTCCGCGGGGTGCTGCGGCGCCTGCCCCTGCCGCCCGGCTGCGCCGTGCTGTGCCTCGACCGGGCCTCCGAGCAGCCGCGCGTCTTCGGCCAGCTGCGCGCGCCGGGCGGCGCAGCGACTTCGGGCTTCGGCGAGGGCGGGGAGTCCGACGGGCTGGCCGAGTGGGTCGCCACGGACGCGGTGGAGCCGCCTTCGCCGCCGCCGCCGGCGTCGGCGTCGGCGCCGGCGTCGGCGTCGGCGTCGGCGTCGGCGTCGTCGTCGGCGTCGGCGTCGTCGTCGTCAGCGTCGTCCGCGTCGTCGTCGGCGTGGTCATCTGGGCGGGAGTCGGAGGCGGGCTCCCGCGGGCCAGCGAGCCGCAGCTGCCGGGAGGCCGCTCGCCCCTCCCGAGCACGACGAGGCAGTCGTCGAGCTCGCAGGCCAGGCTGAGCCCCGCGCACTCCCCATGCAGTGCGCCTCAGCCTGCTGGCTGGCGCATGGCCTTGGCGCGCTCGGCCTTCGTCAGCTGGCACTCCTTCTCTTCCTGCCACGTCGGCGGACCCAGGCACGCCCCGCCGGCGGAGGAGGAGGACACGACGACGACAACGAGGACGAAGCGAGGAGGAGGAGGAGGAGGAGGAAGAGATGGAGGCGGAGGAGGAGGAGGAGGAGGAGCAAGACGCGGAGGGGGAGGGACGGGGTCAGGGGGTGGGGGGAGGGGCGGGAGGCAGGGAGCGGGGGTTGGGAGGAGAGGGGGGGGTGGGAAGGCCTAGCGGGGGTGGGGAGGAGAATGAAAGGGGGGGGGGGAACGTCCACGGGCACGAGGAGCAGGAGGATGCGCAAGAGGCGGAGGGGGCGCGGGGTGAGGAGGACAAGCACGAGGGAGGGGAGGAGGCGGGTCTTCGTCCTCCTCCTCTTCCTCCTCCTCCTCCTCCTTCTCCTCCGGCTCCTCGCAGTGTCCTACTGGGGCCTCAGTGTCAGGCACGGTGCCGCGGGGCGGGTCGGCCCGCGGGGCGGCGCGCGCGCGTTAGGGCTTCGGCTCGGCGACCGCGGGCGCGGCCCGCCGCGGGGGAGCGATCGCCGCCCCGCGCGGCGCCGTCGAAGCACGTCGAAACACGTCGCCATCGGAGTCCCAGCCATCGTCGCTATCCTCCTGCTCCTCGTAGTCCTCGTCGTCGTCGTCGTCGTTGTCCTCGTCGTTGTCCTTCTCGTCGTCGGCGTTCTCGTCCTCGTCCTTGTCCTGGCCCTCGTCGTCGCCCTCCCCCGGCAGAGGTGGACCAGTGGGGCGCCCCCTGGCCCTTCGCCGCCGCTTGCGGCGTGGGGGCCTCGCTCGACTTCTGCGCGGGGCGCAGCTACGTGTGCGTGCTGCTGGTGGGCTTCGAGGGCGCGGAGCCGCCGCGGCGGGAGAGGCCCTGGGGAGCCCAAGAGCCACACGCTTCGGGCTGCGCGCAGACCCCCCCCGGCAGGTCCAGTCGAGTGTGTAGGTCGGCCCTGTCAAATCTAGGGTACCTTTGCGTCATGCGCTGGGCGTCCCCTGCCTTCGGAATGCCCACGGCAGTGTGGGCCTCTGAAGGGACTCGTGTCCTCTCGTGTGTCCTCACCAATCAAACTCGACCGCAGTCCCAGCTGGCCTCGACAGGCTCCCCGAGTAGATCCGGCTGGCCTCAGCAGGCCCCCCCGAATAGTCCGGGACGATCTCAACACCCTGGCGCCGGCCTTGGGGTGCTCGGCGCCCCGGGCTTGAGGTGTTACGACCGCCAGGGAGTATTAGGGGTGCCTGTTGAGGCCAGCCGGGGCTACCTGGGTGGGCCGTCTGAGCGCAATCCAAAGCTTGACCTCGAGGTTTTTGTAGGTTGGAGGTGTTTGTAGGTTGAAGCTGTGCCGGCACTTTACCACGACGTTGGAGGTTTTTGTAGGCTTGGGGGCTGTCTGGGTTTCCGCGGGGCTCCTTCAGTCGCCATGGCGGGAGCCACTCGAAGTTCTGATCGGAGCGCGCCCCTCGCCAGGTCCAGGGGCCGACTTTTGACCCCCGTGCCAGGGATCGCCTGGAAGGAAGCGTATCCTGGAGGTCTGGAGTGAAGGGGTCCTCTATGCCTTTCGCTAGTTCGGATTCACCCAGGCCCAGGGATTGTCAAAGCGCCGCTCAGGGGAGGAGGGCGCCCCGAATACTGCTGCAGAGCACCTCGGCTAGAGCGCAAGCTCTTTAAGCGAACCATGGTTATCAGCGCGGATCCCGAACAGTTGGTTTTGCATTATTTTTGAATCTTCTGCACATGTATATATGATCGTGTACACATACGTATGTGATGCAACCTCTGTAGTGAGTAGTGCAAGCTATGAGGCACAACATGTGGCGCAAGGGGGAGGGCGCGTGGTTTGATGGAGGACGCCTACAGCGAACAACCGCCGCCTCCTTCACTTTAGAAAAGCCCTTTGTGGCTGCTAAGCGTTGGGACAAAGTCCGGTCAAGCTATTCCCCTCGTCGGTGTGGGAGCCCTTGCCGGAACGATTAGGGGAGGAAGGGGGAGAGAAGAAGGCAAGTTAGATGCGTTCGCGCCATATCTGGCATCCTACCCCTCCCACTCATCCTTTCCTATTGCGTTCAATTGGTCTCTATCCGTCGACGGGTGTCATTGCGGACGTGGAAGCCCCAAGGGACATTGACGTGTTATGCGCAATCAGGACGTGGAGTTGGCGCGCGGACCCTGTCCATGCAGACCCATGGCACGTGCGATCGAGTGATGATGATAATGATGGTGATGATGGTGATGATGATGATGGTGATGGTGATGGTGATGATGAC